CCTAATGAGGATGTTGCTTCAGTCTGTCGTGGTGAGGAAAGAACTGAGTTGAGTTGAAAGGCAAAGTTCTCGATTTACTGGTCTGTCTACATTCCAACTCTCACCTACGGTCATGAGGTTTGGATCACGACCAAAAGAATGAGATTTTGGGTACAAATGACTGAAATGAGCTTCCTTCTTAGGGTGGCAAAATTCAGCCTTAAAATTAGGGTGAGGAGCGCCGTCATTCGTAGGGAGTGAACGCAGTCAGTTGCAGTGGTTCAGGCATTTAATTAGGACACCTCCCTTTAGAGGTTTTTCAGGCACGTCCCATCAGTTGGAGGCACCGGGGAAGACCCAGAACCCACTGGAGGGATTGTGTATCTTCTCTAGTCTGGAAACGCCTTGGGGTCCTACTGGAGGAGCTGGAGAGTGTCTTGGGGTACAGGGATGTTCAATAGAAGGTTTCTCTTCTGGACTTGTTGCTTCCGTGATCCAACTACAGATAAATGGTAAAAGATGGATATGGCTACAACTCAGTTTTATTGATATTGAGCCAAAATGTTGTTGCTGAAACTCATCCCCACTTCATTCCTGAAAGTTTTCACTAATTAACTCTCTGATTTTGATTGTCTGTCAGCAAAATATCTAATAAACAACCAGATGGGTTTTAATAACATTCCTTGAAATTTTTCACTGGATGTCCTTTTATAAGAAATTACAATTTAGAGTCGATTCAAGATGGTCACCAACTGACCTTAACCGACACAAAAATGGCTGAAACTCTGTTGATTGTTACAGTTGAAGAAAATTTGGATGAGGTCATAGTGGAGAGTCTTTTAAAGCACATATTTTGAGCGCTCACAGATTGGGAAAGATTTTGTAAAATCTGTTTTGTTTTTTTTTATTCCACTGAATTCCTTTGAACACTTTCCAAAACAGATTCAGTCATTTGTAAGTGCTTGTCTCTGATCTGTTCACCACAAACCTTTAAACCCCCTGATCCTATCTTGTGAATTGGCCACATATAAAGTGCTGGCAGGTTTTTATGTCTTCTGAGCCTCAACTCTTTAAGCTAATGGCCATTATCTGGAATATGAAAGTGCCACGTTTGGGGCGGGAAGACGTTTGTCCCAGCTCCATCCTGGCTTTGCAAACGAAACCCCTCCATCCTCTTCTTTGCTCCATCCCGTTCCAGAGCAAGTAGTTGGGAAGTGGTCCAACTTACCACCTCCTCCTTCTTTTATTTTGACTGTTCCTTTGTCAAGCGTCTCCACAGTGAGTCACACTCCTCCGTCTCACTCTGTCCTCTGCATCCACTGTCCTCAATCCAACTACCTCCATGTCCTCTAACTGCATCCATATATCTCCTCTTTGTCTTTTTCTTGGTAGCTGCATTTCTAACATCCTTCCACCAATATTCACACTGTCCCTCCTCTGGACATTCAATTCAATTCAGTTCAATTCAAAAATACTTTATTACATGTCCAAAGCATCTCAGTCTGGCCTCTCTAACTTTATCTCCCAGTTGTTCAACCTGTGCTGTACCTCTGATGATCTCGTCCCTAATCTTATCCATCCTTGTAACTCCTAAGGAGAACCTCAACATCTTCATTTCTGCCACTTTCAGTTCTGTCTCCTGTCTGTTTGTCAGTGCCACCGTCTCCAGACCATACAACAAAGCTCATCTCACAACTGTCTTGTAAACTCCTTGTAAACCTTTCTCCGTCCACTCCATCCTGTCTGGACTATTCTTCTTTACCACACTCCCTGTTTTCCTGGACAGTGGACACTAAGTACTTGAAGTCCTACACCTTTGTGACCTCTGCTCCTTGTAGCCTCACTGTCCCACCTGTCTCCCTCTCATTCACACACATGCACTCTGTCTTACTACAGCTGACTTTCATTCCTCCTTTTTCAAGTGCAAGTTGCCAGATTTACCAAGCATCCATAATGACTTCTTCAGGTTATTATCTTTAAACACCAACATGCAGTGACCGCTTTGGGTGACCGTAACGAAGGAGACATGGTGACGGCCTTCTGTTTCACTCAACCCTGTGGTTACATTTCAAGCTGCAGTCTCAGCTCAGTAATTGGCCCAGATGGGACATTTCAGCACTCTCTTGTGCCACACCTCAGCTCACCCCCATCTCACAACTCTGCACCACTTTTTCCATTTTATAACCGCTCCATTTGGAAGACATTAGACTTTAGTCCACAGTCTCACATGGCTCTTGAGCTCGGTGTCGCTGGTGTCAGATCTGCTGTGACAGAAATCATCAGTGGGGTTTTCACTTCAGCAGCAGGGGAGGGAAGTGTTAATTCCTTCTGTTGCATCCTCTTGTCCTTCTTTTTAGAAAAGTGAGCCCAATTCTTATTAAATAAATCATATATATACCGCACAGTAAAGTCTACAGTGTGTGTTAGCAGTACATCTTATGAGCGTAAGACCAGAGTTTATTGAAGCACAAAAAGTACTCATTGGATTAACAACTGATTACCTTTTGGAGTCGGTCCAATTCAATATGGCCGCCACTGCTGGATCAACTTTAGCAAACACAAAAATGGCTAAAACTCGGTCGCTTTTACAAATTATCGATTTAAAATTTGATGTGGTGACCGCTGAAAGTCCCCCACGTTACATATTCATTCATTCATTCAACCTGTATTTATACAGATTAATCACGTTGAGCCTTGGGAACTCATTTACAAGTGTGACCTGTTTAGACAGACAAAAAGTAGAGAAACTTGACAACAGGGTGAGGAGGCAAAAAACCACAACTGGCACTTAGCCCTGGCCGAGGCAGAGTTCCAGAAATAAATAAAAAAGACCCCGCACATAAAGCAACACAGTGACGCAGACATTCCGCAGGGGGGAGGGGAGGCGGCAAAGACATATATAGTTTTAAATGTATAAATAATTTTTATTATTTTCACAAAAACTGTTGAAGTATACCCTGTCTGTTAGCAAAATATCTTATGGACCAATGGATAGATTGTAATGAAATTGTCAGGAAGTAAACTAGCAGCTAATTAGGTTTTGGACTCGACCTGACTCACGATGGCCCTCATTGCATACTCTAATAAATGTCAGAGTGCTAACAGGTCCTATTTAAAGTGCACGTGACATGCGTTTCCTACAAGTACAAAAAAATGGAAGAAAACATCTTAATATTTAAGAAATTTGGCATAATTCACATGATGGTGTCCATTTACTTAACTGGCATTGTTTTTTTACTTGACGTAGCCAAAGTGAAACAGGAAGTGACATCAAAGGGGAACTCCCTGGTCTTGGTTTATACAAGCTCTGTTTTTTTGTCTCTCTCCGATAGTGACTGAAAATAATCTAAAATAAACATCAGATTATTCTCTGTTCTCTGTGTTGTTAGCCATTGTAGCGATTCTCTGTTTTCATGCAGGTGTTCGTGTTTGACATCACTTCCTGTTTGTGCAAATGCAAATATCTCAACAGTAAATCTCGGCAGCGTGAAATTTATTTTACAATACGTTATTAATATTATTATTATTATTATTATTATTATTATTATTATTATTATTATTATTATTATTGCTAACACCGCAATCATATTTTGATAAGGAGCTTTACAAGAGGCTACTGTTTGTAATATTTGTTGTATGTTTTAAGTGCAAATGGGTGACATTCTCACCTGCACACACATTTTCCATGAAACAATGAGTATAAACAATAAGTATAAATCTAGCTGCACCACATACCAAAATGTATCATTGAACTATCAATTTTGCAAAGAGCTGCAAAACCTCAGAGGTTATTACAGTAAAAGTACCACGCAGTACTCCGTGCACCAATAATATATTTGATGAGTTATTGCAACTGATTTTGGTATTGCAATATTATCCATGTTTTCCTAACGTGGTGCAGTAAAGCGACTCTGATTTGAATGTTTGTTTTTGTATTTAAAAAAAAAAAAAAAGAAAACTTAAAAAGTTGAACCCCTCTGTAAAACTTGTCTGCTTTATTATCATTTTTAGGTCGACCGCAACACGCTCTGGTTTTTGAGTAAATGTGGCCAAAAGGATTTCTACTTCAAATCAAGCGGAAGATCTTATGTGTCATAAAATGGAATATACTCACTAGGATTTTGCTTTTTAAAGGGATAAGACGAATTGTGAAAGTGCTCAGATAAAACTGAAGGTTAGAGTAGAGGCTTCTTTGAGTCGGCAACAAAAAAACAAAACTGAAAGCTGCTATTTCACACTGACTTGTGTGCGACGCATCGTAATGGTTCCCATAAAAAGCTGCGGGCGAGATGCATTCCTGCAGTGACTTGTGAGCGTGAGGCGTGATGTGTAGTGAAAACCACAGAGTCCACACCAAAACTAAAGACCCGGCCTCCGCCTCCTCTCTGATCCTTTTTCCCACCAACCAATAATTACACTTATTGGCCCCCTTGTTTTATGTCTGCTGTAGCGGGAGCTCAGTGCGTAGCAGAGGGCCACGGGTTCTGGATGTCTGGACAACTTCACTGGAAAAATGCGATATAAGTAGCTCTGTCTCCATCCACTTCAATATATTACCTGAACTATTAAATTAAAGAAAGCTTTGGGTGGTTACAGTACATCTATCAGGTCTCCTTTCCTGTGGATTCCTTCTATTAGAGTGTAAGATTTCAGCCATCATGTCACCATCACTACACTGCTGCACTCTGAGGTTGTAAAAACAGAGGGGGAAAAAAAAATCTCATAAACGCCGTATCAAACGTCTGTGGAAAGGTGCACTCAGTGTTCATCAGTTAAAATAGCAAGCCGTCGTCTTTGTAATTGGATTTCATGAAAGTTGGAACCACAGAAATGCAGCTGTCGCACAGATATGTTCGGCTGTAAATTATCTTCTTTCCAAGTCGGCGTTTTGTAGCTTTGCACTCATGGCTTTGCTGTTGCTTTGACCTCTGTTGAGTTTTAACATAAAACATGTCACTCGTAGCTTCTCATGTTGAGTCTTTTCAATGCTTGTCCTCTTTTTTTCTTTTTTTTTTACTCAGGGTGATGCTGGCTCCTCTGCAGCAGGTATCAAGGTGAGCGCTAATGCTAACGTTAACAGTTCTTTTTTTTTTTGTCTGGCTACTTTTCTTGTTTTAAGTTGCTGCTAGCATTATCTCTTAGCATTAGCCCAGAATGACGAGCTAACATAAAAAAGTCTATGAATCTTGAAAATGTTTAAATATGGACTGACTAGTTTTGAAATATTAGATCTGTTTTAAACACAGCACATTTTCATAATGATAACTTTTCGGTGTGCTTCCTAAAATATATGATATTTGATATTCTAGAATTGTTCTAGAATTGCGCCGCTCAAGTTGGCTGCATGTTGGAGCAGCTCTGTTACTTTCATTCTAAGATTTTGCTTTTGGAAACATTAATTCTTCTTTTTCTGGATGTAAATCACATTTTTTGGATGATTGTTTCCTCTGGTATCAGATGTTGTGCAGCTGGAAGGATTTTTACTGAAACTTTTTTAGTTTAAGACATTTGTTATGATGCATAACCATGGCAACAAGGCAGTTTTATACAACCAGCAGCTGATTAACATCTCAAAAGCTCAAATAATATCTCAACTACAGCCCCAAATCTCAAATGAGTTAAAAAGGAAGTTCTGTGGACGCATTCTCATCTACCTGCCAGCTGTGCTCGAGTACCTGACCACTGAGATCCTGGAACTAGCAGGAAACACGGCTCATGACAGCGGAAGGACAGGATCGTCCCTCGGCACCTACAGTTGGCTGTCTGCAATGACAAGGAGCTCGGCATGCTGCTGGGAGGAGTGGCCATCACTCTGGGAGGAGTTCTGCCCGGCATTCGGGAGGTCCTACAGCCTGGGGGAACCGAGAGGCCAGCCGAGTCTGGGTGGACGGATCAGACGGCATCTGCAGCCAGTTTCTTAGGATCCACTGTGGGATGGACCTTTACAAGAGATCCTTCCTGCCTACAGCCATCAGCATCTATAACATCTCTTAGGCTTAATAATAATAATTTCACCAAAGAAAGCATAGTGCCTAAAGATAGTTGTTTAGGCTAACCTTAAAGTGGCAGCTCAGCCCGTTTAGTGTGGTTCTGTGGGAAAATCATTAGCAATTAATATCTTACCTGTTATAGGTAGCTCTTAGAACAACCTCAGTTTTGATTCTGACTGGATTGATAAGCTAACTGCTAACCACAACAGGGTTTTGACCGAAATTAATGGCTTCCATCCTAAAATAACTCCATTCTCAAAGGTTTCATAGAGTCTCATGTGAAGGCTGTTTTATAAACCTTAACATTGTCGTCCATTTTGATTATATGGTTATTTACTTGAAGTACTTGGGTAAGTGCAAATAGTGAAACCTGTTGTTAGCTGTGACACCTCTGGTGCAACCTGGTTAGTACTGGTAGGAATATCTTCTGCTAGAATACCAGTGTGATATTTACCATTTGGTGGTGGCGCAAGCTTTATTACTGTTTACATAAACCACTTGTTCATTATTTCATTCAGCTGAAGTCGTTAAAAGAGCCATCCACAGCAGTTAAGATATTAACTGTTCATAACACCTAACTTTAGAAGATCTAAACTGTCACTTAATTCACTTTCAAGCTAGTTATTCTTAATCTATGCTATAAAACAGCACCAGAGGCAACCAAACAAAACAGTCTTATGTATTATGAACTAGTCAGAAAAATATGACTTTTTGCACAGTTAGACAAAAAAGGGAATATTCATCATGTAGCTACGTTTAAAAGCTTTTAGCAGTGGACAATCAGTCAAACCTGGGAAAATGTCAAGCTTACAGTCACTGCTGTAAATCAACAAGGAAATTAGGTGGTTTAGAATAACCATTTTTTCACCTCTACAGGGCGAACCTGGAGAGCCTGGTCGAAGTGGAGTAAAGGTAAGAACTTTAACATTATGTAAAAGTCAAGGCAACATTTTGGTTGCTATTTGTTTCAGTATTTGGAGTTTGAAACATTCAGACACGTACAATCAGAAATCCTGTAAGAGACTTATCGCTGTGAAAGCACACATAGGCAGAAAAAAAATGTACAGAGGAAAGCTTTAATATTTTATGTCAGACATTACAGTTAGATTTCCTACACTCAAAAAACTTACACCTGGATGTAGTTTAGATTCCACAATTGTTTTATCTTAAATGTATTACTTTTAGTTAATTTTTACCTGTAATAAAGCAATAATATAAGATAAGCTAAACACTTCGAATTAAATCCGATTTCTATGCGTGCACCTGCCCATTAATCTTGAGGCAATGGGTAACTTTTTAATGAGTCTATATTTTTTGGGAAACCCACAATCATTTGTATCATTTTCAATTCAATAATTACACTAAAGATTGTTTATTTCCCTTTAAATGGTCCCACATTTGTTAGAAAAGTGCATTAGTGGGTTTAGCATTTTAGAGTATTGGGGTTGTGCCCATGAAAAACTTGTCAAATCTCTACCAATCAGCTTATTATTCACTCTTGTTTGGTGTTTATTGGATTGGATAATTGAAATATGAAGAAACAAGACATTGTGGCAATTTAGCAATTAATTCATTTAACCTCAGTAGCATGTGAAAGCCTCAATAGCCTCTGTAGCATGTGGAAGAACCATATACAGTACAGCCACAGCAGACTTACACCACTTTTTCATGCAGTTTACAACAATTTGTTGCAAGTCAGCCAGTTTGGCCCCTGATTGTCAACGCTGGGGTACTCAACTTTTTCATGGTCCTAACCCACATTCTCAAATCTGCTGCTCTAAAGTGACATAAGCAGGTTTCCAAAGTTATAACGTTTATTTCCAAATACCTTTTTTCATATTTCAATAACCAAGTTTAGTAGAACCAAGTTGGAAGAACTAATTAAAGAAAAAAACAGCTTTTAATTTCTTATTTAAAATATCCTAACTCAGAAGCACATTACATTGTGTTTGCTCATTTTATCTTCACTTCATTAGTTTCTGTTTTTAATTCAGGTAAAATCTCAGGTCTTATATTAACATCTCTGGGGACTCTAGATGTTTGTTCTGCTAATCTAAGTCTGCCAGACTTGGTCATTTTGTTCCTTAGCATCAGTGCAACTAAAACCCTTTAAATAATCAATGTTTGCTGCAAAGACCTCTCACCAAACCTGTTTTATTCTTTTTTTTTTCCCAAGGCAACAACAAAGTTAATTATGACGCTTGTGTTAACAGCTTAATGAAGGATTATTCAAACATTCCTGCAGCAGAAGATTAAATCTCTTTTAATACGTCTGAACTTGGCCATTCGGCTGAAATTGCTCCAGTAAATTGTCGAATAAAATCTTTAAATCGTATGTGTTGCACCCAAATAACTTGTCTCTTTCTTATGTTTGGACAAACTATTTCCAGCTAGAAAAGCTTTTTTTTTTTTTTTTTGTAGTGAATGTCTTTTAGCACAAGCACGTTTGGCCTAACTTGTTTAACTGCTTGCCATTTTCTTATTTTTTTCTTTTTTTACACATTTCCAAAACAAAAAAGAAAATTGTCATCACAATCGAGATCCCATGATCAAGATGCTGTTTCCACTTAAGAATCTGCCATCAAATCTTTATTAATGAGTCTTTTTCAAGTCCAGGAGAAAGACTTTTAATCATTAATTTTATGATGCTTTCACTGGCCCCGATGTCAATTTATAGCCTCCGTGCCAATTCCCCCATGTGCCGTTAAAGCTGATCATTTGGGTGCGGCATTAATTATTTCTTTCTCATGAGCCATAAATACAATGAACCTAATTGAGCATTAAATTATTCCGAGTTAGACGTTTTAGGTTTGAAATTTCACGGAGGCCACAAAAAGGACCTGACTTCTGTACTTTTCCACAGCTGAGTCAAATGGAGATTTTAACTCGACAGTAACTCTCAAACTCTAAGACTCCATAAAGCCGCTGCAGTTTTGGAAACCTTGACTCAGAAAAAGAAACTAGAACTTTTCACACCTGTCCTAACCAATAAAACGGTTTAAAATTTGGATCCAGATCTCGTTGTGAAGTGCTGAGCATTATACCGAGCACTAATCAAACTGTCGAGCCGTGGCTGCATGAGTTGAAAATGCATGCACCTCCTCTTCTGCTAACGCTCCCTACAAGCAAACGACTCCAGTCAGGAGAACGCTTTTCAGGACTACAGCAGCTCGACAGCCAGGGGACACACAAACGATAGAAATTAACACGTAGAGCTAATACAGAACCCAAAGAGAAGACAAATGAGGCCTGACTCGGCTTAGCTTGGCTTGGCTGTAACGTGTCACACTCTTCCTGTGTAGGGAGAACCAGGACTACCAGGGCTGCCTGGACTCCCAGGAATAAAGGTAATTGCTTCGCTGTTTTCATCCCCCATCCTGTCATCTCCCTGTTGTCCCTGTCCAGCCGCTTCAGCCCACAGCAGCACTCCGCTGACCAACTGTCGTTCCTCAGACATGATAGAATGCTCCAGCCAGCTTGGCTTTTTTTTTATGCTTTAAGGGATTAGCAGCCGGGATTAAAATGTTCCATCTGCAACAGTTGCAGTGACACAATAATGTGTTCAACGCAGTGAAACTTGAGGATTTCACTGCTTCTGATCTGCACGTGCCAGAATTCTGCAGGATAATTGTTCCATTAAGGCTTTTGAATAGCATCCCCATGGTAAGAGCTTTATCTCAGTTCCTGGTAGCTGGAATTAAGGGAGCTGGTGCAAAGTGTGCCAAACGGTATCACTGTTAAAAAAAAGTTTTATTTTTATTGACTTGTGTGGAGTCCTTATAAGCTGTTAGTATCATACCAGCAGTAGATGGCAGTCACAACAATCTGTTTGAAGAATTAGGCGGAAATACTTACAAAATTATCAAGATAAACTTTAGACCGAGTCCATCCAAAACATACCAGACCTAAAAATATGTCACAACATTTCAAGCAAATGCTTTGTTATGACAAAGTTGTTCAACTGCAGAACCAGGGCTGGTGCTGGAGCTGATTTTTATCTGGCTCCAATTAAACAAAAAAAAAAGGACTGTGTTGGTTTTCCACAGCTGGTGAGCCACCTCATTACATCTCGTTAAACGTCTCCTCCACTAAATGATCCGTTGTATTTGAGTTTCTGTAGAAGATCAAAGTTCAGTTCACAGGGTTTGACCTTTTTATTCCTGCGAACGTGTCTTCATATCAACGATCGTCTTCATAAACGCTGTTTGAAACCACAGATGGTGTTTGTGAATGCTCTTTTCTGTTTCTTTGGTTGCATTTGTAAATACTAGAGAACAGGGGTTACACACAACTTTTTATCAGAATCTCTTAACACCAGGAGGGGATAATAAAAGAGCTTAAAATGTTTATAAATGGCATTTGAAGCTGTTTATTAATTCAATTGAAAGCAGAAATTTAAAAGAGCCTTGTGTTGCGCTCTGACCCGCTACATGAAAAAACACACCGACCGCAGGAAGATGACAGACTATGAGCTCTTTATTCCACTGCTAATATGATTTCTTATTCACTTTGAAGCAGAATACGTTGGTTTTAATTTAACAAAGTGAAACCGTGAGTAGAGAATTTTCATTGGTGGTTTTTGGCATAACTTGTGTGCCACCTCAATGTGGGCGGGGTCGTCACAGTGCGGCCACCTGAAATTTTTGCGACGCTATTTTCTATCTAAGCCAAACACAACAACGGGCAAATAAGTGAAATCAAGTGGAAAATGCTGCCATATTCTGCCACGGTTTCTAACCTGGTCGAGTTGAGGCCTGCTCATTTGGTCTAACTCCGTCTGAATTTTGTCCTCAGCCAACAAACGTGAAAACGTCTGAACCTCCTCATAGTACCACTGGACAGTAGTCCCTCGCTACTTCGCGCTTCGTTTTTGGCAGCCTCACTCTTTCACAGTTTTTTCAAAGTAAGATTGGACATGACACGCAATTGGATGATTGATGGATGAGCCACAAGAGCGGCATGAATTGTTTATTTAAAATAAATAATTTTAAATGATTTGGCACCTGTGTGCAGCCCACAAGTGCAGGGAGAAGCTCCCTCCTGCTGTGTCTGCCACGCCCATATTTCTGCTCCGAGCTGTGAAGGGTTAACCCTTTGCTGTCCAGATGCACCGATCGACTTTTGTCTTCCAACTTAAAATTCAAAGTATGTCACATCGTAAAAATCGTCATAATCACAAAATATAATTGTTAAAAGTTATTTTTAATTATTTTAGGACTTCTATGTTCAGTTGTTACAGTGTAACTGATCAAGAAGTACATTTCTGCTCCGTGCTGCTGCGTGAAGGGTTAACCCTTTGCTGTCCTGCTGCGCTTCTCTTCTCTTGTGCCAAGTTAACCAAGTCTTTTTGGTGCCGGAGCCAAAGCTTGCAACAGAGCTGGTGCTGACTGAGCTCGAACTCCACTTCAGCACTGGACCACGTTAGATGGAGGAAAAAAAAAACATCCAGAGAACATCTTGTTTTGTTGCTAACAAGATCACCAGCCCTGGAAAAACTCCCCATGAGAATTTCCCCCTGATTCTCTAAACCAGGGGCTTCCAACCCTGGTCCTTGAGGAACGCCATCCTGCATGTTTTAGTTGTTTCTCTGCTCCAACACACCTGATTTTAATTAATGGGTGATAAACAGGCTTCTGCAGAACATGAAGTAATTAAATCACTGAATCAGGTGTGTCGGAGCAGAAAAACTACTAAAACATGCAGGACGGTGTTCCTCAAGGACCAGTGTTGGGAACCATTGCTCTAAACGTAGACTTCCCTGACTTTTATCTGCTGCAGGTAAGATTCTGACTTCAGCTTAAACCTACTTTAGAGGTCTCTCAACTGCTCCTGTAAAAAACATTTGACTTTAGAATGTTTTCTGGACAGTTTTATTATTTCATTCTTCGTAGTGTCAGTGAAAGAAAGCAGCAGAAGCTAAATGCAAAAACAGCACATAACTCCGTGCCACCGTCCGTTAGGAGAGCAGTAACCACACTGATGTATTTCAGGGCCATTAGCTTGAAAAATAACGTGTGAATGCAGGGAATGCTCGCGCAGGCATGATGCTGATGCTTGTTACTGTTGTGTTTTCTCTTTGTACGCCTCTAATGTGCTGGCCTTGTAAAAAGCACCTTTCGTTTTTTTTTACACTTTTTATATACTCCTGTTTTTACTTAAGAGGCCTGTTTGCTTGATGGATTCTAACATAAAATATATATAAATATATATTTGCCAACGTAGCACTCCAGGCTTGCACTTTCTTCTCCGCCACATTCTTCGCTGTTTATCCAATCATGGTTCGAGAGCCAAACGTCCACATTCTTGTAGCGAGGACTCTGGTTGCAGATGGTCTAATCAGTCTTTCCGGTTTAAAAACCAAATGTAATGCAAATGAAGTCCAGCAACACACCTCGTACTGGGAGCTCAGTCCTCCCGAGTGAAAGTGGAAGTTTAAAAATAGCAAAATTCATATTCATAAAAGGCACAAACTGTTTTTTTCCCCCTCTCTTCTCTGATGAGTTTCTAATAAGGTCAGTCGTATCGTCGGTTCAGGAGAAAAATGGTAATAAATGTGAAACCAAGGGATGAATTAACAAACCGCTGATCGCCTGTCTGTGTGTAATTTATGCATGCCTTCCTCGGTCTGTGTGTGTGCACGTGGGCGTGCACGAGAAGTAAGTGCATGCCTGTCGTTACGAATGCGTTCGGTCGTTCATCATCTTCTACGTTTTCAGCGGCGGCGCTCGTTAAAAAAAATAAACAACCAGGAGTGACAGTCGCTCATATTTTTGTGTTTTTCAGGGCGAGCCTGGGTTTTTGGGCCCCCAGGGAGAACCGGGGCTTCCAGGACTCCCGGGAACTAAGGTGGGTGACTTGTCAGTAGCCCTCCAACTCAATCAAATGGTCATTCAAGCCAATCGCCATTGTTAAAACTGCAGATTTTGCTGTATTCATTATCGTCACTTCACCAACGTCATTGAAGCTGTTTGTTGTTTAAATGACAAAAAGACAGGAGACAGAACTGGAAGTGGCAGAAATGAAGATGTTGAGGTTCTTTAGGAGTGACAAGGATGGATAAGATTAGGAATGAGATCATCAGAGGTACAGCACAGGCTGAACAACTGGGAGATAAAGTTAGAGAGGACACACTGAGATGGTTTGGACATGTCCAGAGGAGGGACAGTGGGTATACTGGTAGAAGATGTTAGAAATGCAGCTGCCAGGAAAAAGACAAAGAGGAGATACTTGGATGCAGTTAGAGAGGACATGGAGGTAGTTGGAGTGAGGACAGAATGAGATGGAGGATGACTTGCACCTAAAGAGGGAACAGTTGGAAAAAAGAAGAAGATGATTAAAGTTGTTTGTTGTCAAAAGCCTAAACAAACCTGGTCATAATGAGCTGATGATCCAAACACACAAGAATCATGTCCCCATTGGCCTTCTGCATCAGACCGTTTACCGTTTTTTGATCAACAGATCATTTTGATGATCGATTCACATCATCCACAGTCTCCTAAAATGATCTTACAAAAGTGATGGTTTTTTTTTCTAGAATTGCTCCGGTCAAGGTGGCTGCATGTTGGAGTCGCTTTCTTACATTCATTCTGATATTTTGCTTATGAAAACATTAATTACTCCTTTTTCTTTTTTTTGATGTAAATCACTTTTTTCGGATGATTTATTTCGGATGGTTTTGGATGCTGTGCAGCTGGAAGGATTTTTACTGAAACCTTTTTACTTTAGGACATTTGTTATGATGCGTAACCATAGCAACAAGGTGGCTTTCTACAACTGGTAGCTGCTGATTAACATCTCAAAAGCTCAAATAATATCTCAAGTCCAGCCCCAAATCCCAAATGAGTTGAAAAGGAGGTGCCGTGGATGCATTTTCGTCTACCTGGAGGTGGTGCTCAAGCGCCTGACCACCAAGATCTTGGAGGTGGCGGGAAACATGGCTCGTGACAGTGGGAGGACCGTGTTCATCCCATGGCACCTGCATTTTGGTCCGTGACGACTGGGAGCTTGGCAGGCTGCTAGGACAAATAGCCATCACTCAGGGAGGAGTTCTGCTCGGCATTCGGGTGATCCTGCTGCCCAAGAGAACCGGGAGGTCTGCTGGGTCTGGGTGGATAGATTGGTCAGTTTTTTTCAGATCTGCTGTGGGATGGACTGCTACAAAAGATCCTTCCTGCCCACACCCATCAGCATCTAGAACAACTCTTATTGAATCCTGGATGAGCTACAACAACTATTAATTTCCCTTTGGGGTTAATAGTGTTTTTGAATTGAATTTAAGGTTTCAAACCGTAAGTATCATACCTGTCGCAGATAGATTGGAAATATGGTTCAGTTCTGATCAGACTGCCAAGCTAACGGCTAATCCAGAGCTGTCCAATCCTGGTCCTCGAGGACCAGTATCCTGCAGGTTTTAGAGGTTGCTTCTGCTCCAACACACCTTTCCTTCAACCTTTATTTAGACGGGTCAATCCCATTGAGCCTCGAGGACTCATTTACAAGAGAGACCTGATTTGGATCAGTGGGTGATTAAGATGCTTCTGCAGAACATGAAGAGAAAAATCACCCATTGAATCAAATGTGTTTGGGAGGTGGGAAACCAGTAAAACCTGCAGGATAGTGGCCCTCAAGGACCAGGATTAAACTCCTCAGGGCCAGTCTGACCAAGACCAAATTGGATTATAAATTGCTTCATTCAAATGTTGCAAACTTTTGCTCTGCTGTCAATTTTGCACCACTTAGATTTTTTTCCCAGCATTTTTTTTTTTTCTGTGTACTTGCTAGTGCAAACAAAAGCAGCAGCAGCTAGCAGTAGCACTTCCACTGCAGTCTCAGACACGTGTTCAGGAGTCTGATCATATTTCTGCCAGAATAACGGGTGTAATTTAAAACTGCTGGTGATGTAAACGTTTATAAAATAGCATTAGCATGAATCAATGGGAAATGATTAACACTAAAATTGTTTAAAGATGGCAGCAGTCCACTTTGGTCTTGGTCAGACTAGCCGTTAGCCCATCAGTCTGGTGGCAATTCAAATGTATTCCTCCAAACCGAGGTCGTTCAAAGAGCTATCTACAACAGGTAAGATATTAACTGCTTGTAACATTTACATACTACCCCACTTCAGAAGATCTGAAATATTATTTTAAAGTGTAAATATTGACGACTTAAAGGTAAAAAATGCTAAAAGATAAAATATAAGGAATTCTGAGCTTCTTGTTGAACCTGCTGCTCCAGTATGGAAGCCAAGAAGGGTCAAACCGAACACAGACTCTAGAATAATAATCAATCAATCAATAGTGGAATTATAGTTTTGTTTTTGCAACCACTAATTTTAATTTACACTTTTTGTTTGCCAACAGAAACATTCTCACCAGATGCGAAGAAGTCCTTCACATTTAATTAATTAATTAATAATTAACTGCAAAGACGTGTTTGGTCCATATTTTCCATCTTTCAGACAACTAGGGAGTTTTGACTCTTTTTTTTTTTTTTTTTTTTTTTTTTTTTTACAGGCTCATTACAGTCGATCTTCAGTGGGTAGATTTAAATAAAGTCTCTGTGTTGTGCTCGATGAAAAGAACTGAAGAATTTGGATCATTCTCTGACTGACAGCTGTAAACCCAGACTGCGTCTCCCTCTGCTGGCTTACAGACAAAAACAATCTTCTCAATTTAAACATTTTTATCCACTTGTCTTTGAATCGTTCTCCTGGAGGACACAGGAGACAACGGTAGTCTCAGTGTTCGCTCCAGGTCCGATGGGCCGTCGTGCTGACGCTGTAGAACCGTCCACAGCTCGGGCTGTAAATCCGTTGACGGATGATCCAGATGTGTCGGTACCGCAGAACTGAGAGCTGAAGGTTGAGCTGAGTGTTTACAAGATGCACCACAGATTTTTTTTTTTATTATTATTCTGCCGACGATGAACAGAACTCGAGGCTGGATCAGCAGTTCTGTGTTCTTCATGCTGGTTTTTTTTTTTCTTCTTTTGTCTAAAAAGGGGGAGAAAGGCGACCACGGACCACCTGGGAAAGGTGAACGAGGGGAAATCGGACCTGTCGGGTCAAAGGTCAGTAACACGCACAAGCTTTTTAATGAATGAAATGAAAACTTGATCCTTGATGAGCAGACTCCCTGAACATTCTTTTTGTTGCTTTGCTGCCATCTTGAGTCTTTTTTCTACCTAAAATACATTAAGTGGAAACTCATCAAGTGTAGATTTTTTCTTATCAAATGTTCAATTTATTAATATTAACTTGTGTCAATAAAGAAAAAGTTTAATGTCCTTTAAGGCCTAACAGAAGTCACTTTATCGTTGTTTATGTCTGCCAAACACCCGGCTGCTGCTTTAATCACAGAAATCTGATTTACTTCCTGTTAGAAACCCAGCCCGTTCAAATAAACTCTCCCTGTGTTAGAAACTTAGTTTTATGAATCTGACTGCGTCGGTCCCTCACGAGGAGTCGGATCGCTTCGTATCATGTCCTTTAATATTGCACCAGACGGTGCTGCCTTGAATCCTTCACTAATTTGTTTTAAGAGCTTTAATGTGTTTGTAGATTTTGTTTCTCCTGTTATAACCTTCGTTACCTGATATTTTATATTTTCCCTCATGTTTTTTTTTTGTTTGTTTTTTTAAACTCATGTCAGGGTTCACAAGGAGAAGCTGGTCTGCCTGGTTCCAAAGGGTCAAAGGTCAGCATGACAGACATGTTTTCTTTAATTTGGTGAACAGCGATGTTATTAGTGTTTGATTGGTTAAAAAATATATATAAATACAGCTTACAGCAACAATAAATCTTATAAGTCTTGATTTTTTTTTGTTCTTAACTGCTATATTTATGATCATTGTTAAGATGAAACATTTGTTACACATGAAACTAGCGCTCCTAGAAGCAGTTTTTATTGCCCGTCGCATTGCATGACAAAGTTTGAAGCAAAGATCTTGTATGAAATGATAGAGCTCAAAAGTATTTGTTGAAGATGACTCTCAGCTACAACCGTTTCAAGTTTTAGCTCAATGTCTGTAGAAACGATTGAGTAATGTTGATGTTTGTGTTTTCTAAAGTCATTGACCTAGGGTGGCCAGTTTGAATCAAGTTCCCTTCAAAGTCCAAAAAAGTTCAATCTGGTCCTCTGGACAATCAAAATTTTGATTGTCCAGAGGACCAGATTGAACTTTTTTGGATTTTTCTACCTGGATTATTGAGCATGCATCAGGATATTCCCTTCAAAGTGTCATCAGTTGTAGATTTACATCCAGGGTTTACGTTCTGAGAGTTTCAGTCAATTCTGTCCACTGGTTCGTGAGATATTTTGTTAACAGAGTTGACTCCAGTAGCTAATGTCAAAGTTTTAAAGATAGTTCGCACAGACAGCGTGAGCTCAGAGTATGTTAGGGAGAAGACACTCAACTACTACCGCAACAACTTTTAGCTCAAGATCTGAAAAATCGACTGAGTTGCAGCCGTTTCTGTTGTTCCTAAGATTAATTAGTGACGGCAGCCATTTTAAATCAGGTTCATCTCCAAAAGTTCTTGAGCTCTGACTGAGTCTTTCATTACAGTCCCACTTATGATTCATGAGATATTTTGCTAACAAGTACCCTAAAGCAACCATATGATCACCCTCCTTTCATGACAGCAAAAGCGCTGAGTGAGAATTTTCAATTTTAGAATAAGATTTGTGTGTTTCATGTGTACGTATGTAATGATTGAGACAAATAATTTGTAGCATTTTTATTTCCACAAATAGAATTGTTTATAGAATAAATGTATTGTTTGGTTGTTTTATTTGTTTTCTCTCAGGGGGAGACTGGAGATAAAGGAGACCTGGGATCTGTTGGCCCAAGGGTGAGTCCTTACTCTGACCACCAGGGGGCGATAGCTAAACCGCAGTTAGCTGCACAGGCACACTGTTTATAATGATTTAATTCATTTTTAATGTCCAAGTTGTTCTTTAACTTTATGACAATAAGTGTTCACGAGGGGGGGGGAATTGATCAACTGAGACAACTGCTCAAAAATACAATTAATATTTTTGTCCATCATATACAGGTTCATCTTTTAGAGCTATCTCAAACTGAAATAAATTAATCAGATTTAAATTATTATTTGTTTAGTCTTTAATTTAGCAAAACTATGCAATTCAGTTTTGTTTTTTTTATTGAAATTTTATATTTTTATTGCAATTTTTGAGTAAGATAAATCCTCATTTAAACAAAAGCGAGAGGCAATAAAAAAATGTTTAGCTTAAAGGAATATATTATTTTATGATAAAATAAACATGGGATCAAAAATGCATTTATAAAATGTTTCAATATGTTTTGTTGTTTTTTTGCAGCAAAATGTTGGAGAGTTTATGGGAACATTCAAAACAATTTGAGCAAAGTTACAATATTTTGTAATATTTTTAGAATTTGTCAGAGGGGAGTGGTGGCGCAGAGGTTAGAGAAAGTGGGCCTGTGATCGGAAGGTCGCCAGTTCGACTCCCCGGACCGACAACATCAAATGTGGGTGGAAAAGGTGAAGCACCCACACCAGCCTCCACCCTCATTTGCCCCACTCTGGGCCCTTGAGCAAGGCCCTTAACCCCCACCATCTGCTCACCCGGGCACCACAGGTAGCAGCTCTCTGCTCCACACAGAGCGGTGCGGTAGCTCAGTGGTTGTGCCAGGAAGGGCATCCGGTGTAAAAACAATCACCAAGTCTTCGTGCGAGTTAGTTGGCTGTGGTGACCCCTGAAGAAGAGCAGCCGCTGGTTGTTGGGCAGCCATCTTGGGACTGTAAAGTCACATGTTCAATTCCCCACCATGCCCTCGTGTTGCAGTGTCTTTGAGCAAGGCACCTAGTCCTTATATGCTCCCTGAGCTCTTAAATGGCTGCCCGCTGCTCCAGATGTGTGTCTCTGGTGTGCTGTGTCAAATACAGTGATGACCACACATAACACTTTCACGTTCACAGAATTAGAGCAGCTGATGACGTCATTTTGTTTATTTTGTTTTGTCCCATAAATACAACGATCGATCTTTTGGCTCATCGTTGCTTGTGGTCAACAGATGAACCGATCGAAGCTCCTCAGGCATGAAAATCACAGAAACTGTCAGTCATAGCATCAGCTTGTCTCCTTTGGCTCGTCTGAGCCCCGTGTTCAGTATGAGCCGTTGAGATGTTTTCCTGTTGTTCTGCAGGGCCCGCCTGGGCAGAAAGGAGACCGAGGAGCGACTGAAATCATCGACTACAATGGAAACATCGAAGAGGCCTTACAGGTCGGATGAGTTGTAACCCGACGCAGGGCGTTTCATTTAAACAGAGTCATATCAATGAGGGGAGAGGCCAAAATAATTTTTTTTGTGTTTGTAAAACCACATCTGAAAGTACCCAACGTAAAGAAGAGTGACATGTATTTTTAGATTATTTAGCGTCTCTATAGTTCCTGGGATATTTAAATGTTCCCCTTTAGTCAGCTTCATTTATGCTTCAAACATCTGTTCAGATAAATACTCTACAATCTCACCTCCTTCTCCTTTTCACTGCTTTGGCCGCTGCAGAAGATAACCACCATTACAGTGACGGTAAACAGGCTCTGTGCACTCTGTGTGTTGTTTCATCCTTGTCTGAGCATGGACTCAAACCCACAACCCTCCTCTGGTTTGTTCTGCTGCATCTGCGGTCACTCATCCAGGAACACGCTCGCTGTAAACTGTGTTTTGTGCTACACTTAAACGCCCTCATTAAGAGTCTGCGGGAATATAATTTAAAACAACCATTTCCTTATGTTTATTTTTAAGGATTGTTTAAAGTAACAATTCATTTTTAATTTATTATTAGAAGGAATCAGTTCTGAAACAGATTTAAACCGAAAATGAGGTAAAATTCAGTTTATATGCTTGAATTACAGTATTTAATTGAATAACATGTTCTTCATCTGTTATTTGCTCTTTTGCATTCTTTTGACCAAGTAAAACAGATTAAATTATATTTTAAAATTTTGATAAATTGGTTAAGAACTATTTTATGTTTTTAAATGAGGTATTGATGTTAGACAGAACGTGTTAAACAGAAAGCGCCTTTTTCCATAATATATACAAATATATGAGTTGGTTAAGCGTAATACATTCAGCCATTTTTGGTATATATTTAACTATACTTAAATGTGTTGTTTGTAAAATGCTGGAACATTAAACATCTTTTGTTTGTTTGTTTCAAACTATCAGTCTAAAAGCAGCAACTAGACCACACAGTCAAAGCACGGCTAATGGGCCAGAACTGGTCATTGGACCGTCTGCGTCCGACCCTCTCTGTTATCAAATAGAAACTAAATAACTTAAAAGTAAAAAATAAAAACATTTTATTATTAGATAACTAAGCATGTGCAAATTTGTTCCCAAGAAAGTATGCCGTCTTGATTTTGGATGTTTTTGTTGCCAAGTCAGTAATGTTGGAGTTTGATTAAGCATACCCAGAGTACAAAATA